AGGTTAAATATACAATGGTTCACGTTCATTGCACAATACTACTTCTACAGTATTATACAATAATACTGTTCCAGCCTATGTGCAAATTCGACTTAAGGACAGACCTTGGGAATGGAACTTGTTTTTAAACTGGGGAGTACCTGTACGTCTTTTTGGCATGTTTTTTAACATATGAACATTGGTATGCCAATGTATCTTTTTGATATATGCATTTTTCCAGGAAAATTTTTTAATATACATCTATTTAGTTTACTATATTAGCCTCATGTAAATACTTTTACTTAACTACTATATACTTTTTTGTGCACAGTTTCTTCAAATGTTTGCACAGAATTTAATAGGTCCTTCACAAAATATGGAAAAGTGAAAGAACAATAACAACAATACCACTTTACATATTAGTCTAGGAAGCATGGATTATGTTGGTTCATCTAAAAATATATTTGTCCAAAGATTCAATGTAGGTTTCCCATTTTTTTAAAAAAGCAATCCCATGGGGAAAATGCATACACTAGAGCAAGATATTTCCAGTCATGAACAACTGCATATATAGTATATTTTGATTGGTTCATTATAAAGCTGTTTGTCTAGAGGAAGCAACTCACATAAATTATTTTAATGTATTTAGGAAAAGTGTGGGGAAAAAGGTAATTCAACTATTATAGCCTGCACTGATAAATGAACTTTAGGCAGCAGCTTACAACATTGTCCTCAAACTGTAGTAGAGGGCAGAGAAATAAATACTGTGATTGTTTGAAGTTTTTTTAGCCAGGAAATGATGACTTTGTGACCTCTCAAGTGCCCTGTCTGCTGACCTCTGAGGATATTTAGCCAGCAGTTAACATCTGTGGTCCCATCAGTAGCAGTGAAATAAAAGGTACTTAATGCAAGGCAGCTCTTTCACAAGGTTAGAGAGAATCAATAGGTGATGTGTTTAATGTGGTATCACTATCAGGTCTCATCTCACTTTTAAAACTGAAATATCCACAGTGGGACATCATTGTAGTCACTCAGCAGAGAGATCTTTAGCATAGCAATACTCTTTCACCTAGGACTGAGAACTCTAAAGATTGGCCGAGGGATAAATCTTCCAATATAGAATAAATAGCTACTGCTGAATTAATTAATAAGTGGGGAGACTTTCCTAGCAATTTTTATTCAGGGCCCTTTTCTTTCCCCAAGCTCAATTGTCTTAGAATATAGTTAAATGCATTCGCTTTTTGAAGAACAATCCTTCACTGGAAGAAAAAGAAATTGGGATGAAAGGGCTTTACCCTTTAAAAAAAGTCAGCTTATTATTATTTCTGATTTTGATCATCTTCCAATTGGAGATAAAATGTAGGATTTGAAATATTATGTGGTGGTTCCTGTTATAGCAATATTTTGATCTGAAATTCACGGGATGTTCAAGATTATGTCTATGCATATTTAGAAAATGATTCCAGAGTTGTGGTTCAAAACATTTGAGAACAAGAGGGTGGCACCTCACAGGTGTATCTTTTTTTCAAGCCTGAAAAAAAATGTAGCTGCTCTAAGCAGGTGCTGCACTCACAGATTTTGAAGCATCTCTTCCCAGTCATTTTCAGAGTGTGACCAGACTTAGTCAAGATAACTTTAGAACAATTGCTATTCATCAAGGATGCCCATATTTTTCTTAGTTCCATCCCCAGGACTTAGAATTTATCAAGAAATAACTCATCATGCACTGGAGAGTAGCCAGAAGGATTACTACACAACATTGGAAGAATTAATCTCTACCTGATTTACAGCAGTTCATTGTCAATGTATTGTCTAGTGATGTTTGAACTACAGTTGCCTTCCTTTTCTTTTTAATTTTTTTTTTTCCAAAACAGGCTCACAAGGAGGACATGACAGTAATAGCCATCTTCCACTGTTGTACTCTAGCAAGTAGCATTTAAGATATGTTTAGACTTAGGTAGTTGTATAAGTCATTGAACCATTGATAACTTCTAATTTAGATGGTTTTAAAACGACTGTCAACACATCTAATGGTACTAAATTCCACAGTTTGACTATGGACAATGTAAAGAAATATTTCCCTTTTTTCATCCTTATATATCTTTGGCAATCCCAGGAGCTCCACACAGGGATTTGAATGAATGGAAGAATAATTTAACTGATTTTATTCCATAGAACAGTTGATGCTTACACAGTGCAAATGAAAATCCATCATGGATGCACTAGCAACCCTCTTTTCCTCTCCTTGATTGGTGTCTCTGTGTTTCAGATGTCACTTCAATCTCATATTTCCTTACAGCAAAGTGTTCATTGAGTTTTCCTTACTGCCTTGAAGCAACCCTCCAATGACTAATTGCTTGGATTGAGACTGCACATCAACAAGTATTTTAACATTTTCAAGACTCTGGGATGGGGCCTATATTTTCTGTACTGAATCCCAATGTTATGCCTACCTATCTATGCTCATGATAGATACCAAAATTAATAAAGAATATGTGCAGAGAGTATGCATTCACTCATACTTCGGATGTGTATACAATGGAGAAACAAATGTGAACATCTGATTCAGAAATCCCCAAGAAGCCAGAGAAGAGGCAGAGAAGCCAGTTAAAAAGGAACCATTCCTTCTGGAATGACAGAAGGAATTTTCTTACATTTTTACCTATCTTCCCACTAGCTTGTTCACATTTCCCACCAGATTACCTCCATTTGAAAGGAATGCATCATTATTTTGGCAATGTTAGTTTGTTAACAGCAACAGATCCTTTACTAATCCTACGATTTGGCTCCATTCATCAGTCTCTCACCTGCAATCTCTTAATCTTTCACTGTGGCTTTCGATGAGGCTTTGGAGTCGTGTTTGGCTTTTACAGGTGAAGTGGAATCCTGAAGGTGATAATTACTTCCTCAGTACTTTCTTTGCGGGTTATGAGATAAGCTCTTTAACCTAAGAAAACAAACCTGTTAGCTGAAGTGCAAGTAGAGGTCAACTAAGCTGCCATCACACTATGAGAAACCTTATATAATCAAGCTGACACAATCATACTGTTTCATAAATATTGATAAGCTAATCATAGCAACTAGCATGGAAATATTCCCAAAAGGTTCTTGCCATTTAAAACAGAATTGCATAGTGGTAAATAAATAAGTTCTTTTATTTCGGTCAATGACCAGCTAACACAATAACCAGACAAAAACAAGAACAGGGCAAAGAACAAATACAAAGGGGAGAATTCCAGATCCATGTCAGCTATTGAACAACATTCAGATATACTGTAATACAGTTGTAAAATATTATTCTTCAGGTTACAACTCAGAGATAAAACTAATATATTAAGCCTGTCAACAAAGAGGGAACAAATTATTACTCTGTTATAGGGCTAATAAAATTGATTAGAGCAGTTTTAATGGAGGAAAAGTATTTGATTCAGTACACTGTTGATGGCAAATATAGTGATAGCAGATAAAAGAGATTTTTCAGTGTGTTTGCACATATCCAAGCCCGCTATTATCTGTGAATTTTGATTGCCTTCATGCAAAATTTATGCATTTTATGTAATGAATGGTTTCCTGTCAGGTAAGAAAAAATCCACAAGGAGGCTTTCGTTTTGGTCTATGTAGTATGGTAGTAGGGGGGAAATGAAAGTTTGGTGACTGTCCTGTTAATACGGATAGCAGAGCAGCACATGTGTGTGAGTTTCAATGCCTCCTGTATGGCAGGGACAAATACTCTGACACATGAGGATATTAGTAAATCTCCCATTAAGCACAGAAGAAGGGAACACCTCATGCTTAGCTCTGAAAAAAGCTCTTTGTTGAGCAGGAGAAATTAGAGTTGTTAGATAGCTGCCCAATTGCCATCTAGGGTACATTATACAGTTTAAATTGCATAGTAACATTGTTTTCCTTCTTGGAATAGGCTGATTGTTTTTTTCATAGAGTTTGCTTTTCTTTTAGGATGTATGAAAACTCTGTAAATTCCTCCATCTTTTGCTTTTGGTGTTCTCCTCACAACATTGCTCCTGCCCCTCCCTTCTCCACCATTTAATTGATCTGAAAGTAATTCTTCACTGAAAGATTCCAACTGCTAGGACAATGGTGGTATGTACTGTATAGTGTTCCACACAAGAGGTACACATACAGTGTTACATACAGCTGACAGCCTTTGTTGGGCTGAAAGAAAGCTCACTGTGACTTTGAGAAAGCTCATTCATGGCTAACATTGGACCTGGTGTCCCAGGTTCTAATCCAACACCTTAATCACTATGCCGCACTGGTTTGAGGAACTCTATAGAACAAAGGTTTTCAACAACCAGTCTTAATACTGAAAAAAGAAAAGTCCATTCATATTCTGGCCCATCAACACAACTATATTAGGCTAAAGAGGTACTGACTCTACCCTCATGACAGATATTCTGTTTTGAATAGTTCTGCTTTCTTTCACAAAAGAGTATGAAATATTGCACCAAAGCGGAGCAACAAGATTTCTGATTGCACTTGAGACTTTTACTCACATTTTTATGCCTGTGAATAAAGCACTCTTTTACATATTCCCCCTGAACATAAGAAGCATGAGATTTTAGTGACGAGGACTTGGACATTGGGAAATAGACTTTTTATATCTCTTTCCTTCTCTTCTCACAAGAGAAGGCTGCTGTGTTCCTTTGCATTCCATCTCTTTCCAGTGTTATGATATCTTTTTGCTGTGGCCTTCCATTTCTGGAAAGGTGGTTTGGCTTCTCTTTCATCTATATTTTCTCTCCACAGAAGTATACTTTCTCAATTCATTTGAAGCTGTGCTAAAAGTATGTTTGGGGTCCCCAATGTAGTGCATAGAATAATAATGTGCCTGCTAGGCCTCTTGCCTCTCCTCCTGGGCTTATAGCATTCTTTATTTCTAAGATAGCACATAGGCCCCTTAAGCTTCTTTAGAAACAGACATGATGGGTACCTGGGATCCAGAGTTTTGTTTCGAAGTGTGCCCATCTATCTGGAATGGAGGTAAGCATGGCTATAGAGAGCATCCTGTGGCAAAAAAGCTAGAAGGGTGGCATGTAGCAAATTGTAACTGACTTCTGTATACCAGCCATTTTGTGAATGACCAGACTTTTAGCAAGCACTTTGTGGGAATTTCCACAGCATGCTCTCAAACCCTAATGTGCCTACAAGGCTCAAAAATTTGGACATCCCTGTCCCAGAGTATAAGCCAGTTCAGGCTATATCCTCTACCTAGGCGGTTAATGTAATACTCGTGGTGCCAATATATCTGCATAGACTTCCTTTAAAACCTTCAGGACTCCATGTTTCTCCTGATTAATTGATTGATTTACAAGGGAAACAAAACATAATCTTTATTTCTAATAATGTCTCTAGGACACACATAGCTCCTAAATGCCTTATTAAAAATTAAAATGGAAGGTGATTGAAGCCTAGTGTTCTGTTTGGAAATATGCACACCTATCCAGGAAAAAAATAATAAAGGTAAGCTAAGCTAGTTAAGAACATCTGGCAGTATTTTTATGATATGACCATAAGATACTTTCAAAACTCCAAAAGTCTGAAAGGTCTATTTCTACTATGTGCCCCAGAATCCATGGAACACATGAAGAAGTTTCTCCAGAAAATATCAACAAGGAACAGTTTCACTGAAGGAAAAAAAAATGATTTGGCCCAAACCGAACTTTACCTGTTTTACACACCAACATATCCATTTGTAGCTGATTATTAGTGACAATATTGTTCCAGAAAAATTCCTTACATCTGAAATGCATAAAGATTTCTCTTTCCAAAAAAAGAGAGAAACAAAATCAGCCCAACTTTTATGAAAGAACACCAGAGCACAATTACTGGCTACCATTTAAATCTAAGCTTCAATTTAGCTGCCTTTATTTTCTTAAGCAAAAGTATCCAGTCATTTCCACAAGTAACAAATTGAACTATGTCTGCCCTTAAGCCCAGCTAGGACTGGCCTTCAGACAAATTCATTACAGAAACTCACTGAGGGACAGTAATTTCCCTTCACTTACTGAAAGGCTGACTCAAAGCCTGAATATTATTTCACTATATTATGTCTGCTTTTGGCTCCAACATATTGAATAGCCAGCTACCATTTCATACCTCCATGTGAGCAGAATAGTTATGAGTTTGCCCCTCCTCCCCTCAGATTTCGTATCTGTTAAGCATCCACAGAAAAATAGTAAACTTGCATTTTAAGTGAGGATTCTTTTAATCTTAGTCACTGTTTGCTCACAACAATTGCTTAGGAGTGACTGCTACAAAACCCATAAGTGGAATAACGTAGAACTATTCTTCTAACCTCTAAGTGAAGTTAGCCCTTGGGGAAGGATGCTGTTTCACTGTAATTTTCCATTTCAGGAATATAATGAAATGATTTCTTGACCTGTTTTTTTGCCACTTCTGGAGTTAAGACAGGCAGATTGGTATAACCTTAAGAGTTCCTGTGGGCTTCCCAAAGCAGGCTGAACAAAATTCAGAAACAAGGTTTCTTTGCCAAAAGACCTTGTCCTATTTCAAATACTGAGGGCGGTAGCTTTACATGGTCTTCTATGAAACCAGAGTCAGTATGAAGGATGGATAAGTCTGTCATTTCCATTTTTGCAAGATTTTGTTAGATAGTTACGCAAATGTTCAGACACAAAGTAGGCCTCTTTCTCTGTATATTGTATATGCGTGATTCCTACTGTGAGCATTCCAAGCATTGTGTCCTGTAATAAAATGCAGCCTATGTATTATTTCCCCTAATATATGCATTTTCATGCAAATATTTTGAGTGGTAAACACTACTCTAAAATTTTGAAAAATATGTATTTTAAGTTGCATAGATATTTCTGGTTCTCCTATATGTATAGAAGATACAAAAACTACTCAATATAAACGTTGTAGTGTCATTAATTTTTTCTCCATATTTAATTGATTGGTAAAATTATAAAAGGCAATATCTATACTTGAAGTAACATTTATAATTAGCCCGAGTTTAGTTTAAAAACTCCTTAGTATCTCATTAAATTTATAGGACATGATCCAGAATGCAGTCCTATTGCTTTTACTAGGCGAATGAAGCACATGGAGTAGGACAAGCAGTTAAATTGTATGCATACTCTACCAGGTATAACTTGCCAAGTCATATAATATTCAAACTTTAAAACTTTGACTGCACTATGCCATGAAATAATATATAACACCAATCTCCAAAGAGATACAAGAAAAGTTCACAGTGGGTGAACAGGAAAAGTAAAATCACTTCAGGGACCTTTTCTCAATAACAGATTATAAAAAAGATGCTTTAAATTTAATTCTGCATTTATGCCAAAGCCTGATAAGAAAGCATTAGAAATGTGACAATATGTTGGCTTATAAGATAGGCTGTACATTAACATTTATAGAACCTTTAAGTCTTTAAATAGTAATCATCCATAGAATGCTTGGAGTAAAATGGGCTTTTGTTGAATTTGAGGCATTCTGTCCAAATGTGCCAAAA